TACTCATCCTCTGGGGGTCTTGAAATAAGCTGTCACCATCTGGGCACAGAGTCATATGTGCCTCACTGCTTGACAGCCTGAGCGGGCATCAGCACCAACACCAGTGACATGAACCAGAAACAAAGATAGCAGAAGCAGTGATGAGCAGCATGACAAAATGCAACAGCAGCTTCACTCTTATGCTTAAAGGATGAAAACAGCTTCTTGTGCACTCTGCAGGAAAAGAGACTCCAATGGACAACAGATGGAGGTGGATGCTGGGGGTAAAAGGTCTTAGCTCCACACACAGTAAACATATGAACTATTCTGTATCTTGAAAGGCCTTAAAATCAGGCATTTCTTACAACTAATTTCCCATCATTTGCAGTTTAAATCATTGCTTTGAAATCTTACCAAATGTAAAGAACAAAGGATACAAAATTACAACCTTGACAACTGTTGTCTGTGGACAGGTGACATTCTATCTCCACTCTCATGACAAATATTTTACATGAAAATTTCCTATTGTGCATTATTGTATCAGCTAATGCTTCCTGTTATTTTCTACAGGGGTTTACTGTGAATTCAGACACCACAGGACATTCTAGTCTTTCAGCCTGTGTTATGAACAAGGGAAGCAAGGTTGTATTCTCTTATTTGTGCTACATGCCCTAAATCTGAGCTATAACTGGAGCTTTGGGCATTGAACCAGTACCATGCAATGAGGTCATGAGGAGCTGATATTTTGAATGATATTTAGAATACCATTCTTCCTTCCTGAAAAGAAATGCATCTGTGGCACATGCCTGTTACATATTTCTCTTAGCTCTAGATTTATAAGAGCTCTTGTTCAGACCCCCTGAAAGTGGATAAGCTTGCAGAGATTTTGCATCTAATAAAGGGTTAATAATAACTTCATAATACTGTCAGCCCACTAGAAAAAGATGGTACATCAGTAAAGTTCACAACCACCCATTCTGTCAGGAATCCCACACACATACTTAAAGAAATATAAGTAAGAAACACTATTAAGCCTAAAGTTAGTAATGTTTTTTGACTGGTCACTTCTGAAGGCAAGGAAACAAATCTTCTTCCCCTATCATTTTAGCCTAGATGCCAAGCTCATCTGCATTATTTTCCTTCAGTAAAGAGAAAAAGAACCATATCATTTTCCAGTTTTCAAAGCCAATTTTCTTCTTGCTTTCGTCTTCTTATGCTGCAACAACTGTAACCTCCTTCTGAGTCAGAGGCAGATATTAATGTATTTATAAAAATACACTCATGCATAAATGCTATTAATTAGAGGATCAACTATTTATAGCATAGGCCAATTTTAATCTATCACATCCCTACAATTCTACTTACAATAGTTACTATCAAAACATTTATCTGTGCCTTTACAGTTTTAATATTACCCCAGTATCAGAGATATTTCTTATGCTAATTAAAAGGAATAGTGCAGATATTATGATACTGTCACCAACTCTACTTGTACAGGCAAACTGTAATAATGTCAATGGTATCAATGGTACCTATAGGGGATTACACGTAACACTTTTTCATAGACTGATAATGAGTATACTGCCATACTAAAAGTTTTAATTTCCAGTGTTTACCTAATGAATCTCAAAACACACTGCATTAGCTATGTACATATAAGAGCCACTTCCCCTCAATATAAGGGCAGTTTTTGGACAGATGGGCATACCCTGCACTATAAAATAACGGACAGAAATTTCAGGTTGTTTTTTATAGTCAACCTATCCTGATTTTGCTAATAGGTGTTACAAAGCCACTGCCCAGATACCATAGGCCTGTCCTGTTCTATGGCCCTAATAATGACAGTTAAGAGCCCCATTTCTCTTAGATGGGAGTTCCTTTCCCTGCTCCTTATCCCAATATGCAAGGGTGAGAAACAGGTCAGCATGTGACCCATTGTAGGACATTACTGTACTTCACTGATAACTGACATGGCTTTGTGGCCTTAACCACTGTGGACCAAATACTAAGCTGATGCAACAGAGCTTCACCAAAGGTTTACCTATGTACATTCTGGATGGACCTGTGCTGATAAGAGAGAGGCAGTTAGTGGTGTGAACACAAATTCCCATTGCAGACACCATGAGTTAGCCAACAACTCAGCCAGCTACAGGATAGTCTGCCCTGTGCCTCTGGCAAAGGCAGTTGTTTCATCAAGGAAGATGACAAGGAAATGACTCATGGGGGAAGGGCAGAGAAGCAATTTACTGTACACAATCTAAATTAATAGCAAGCTTATTCTTTAGTGAAGACAAACTTTGAAACTTTGGTACTATACTGTTTGCCCAAGCCTTTCCTTTTTTTTCTCTGTATCCTTATCACTCTGCTGTTGGAGACACAAGAGCCAGAGTGTTGAAGAAGGTTGGTATGCTGCCATTTTTGTTATCTTATTCTCACACTGGTGCTAAAAATTTGCAGTCCTACCCAAAAATCCTATCCTTTATGTAAATCTATTTAAAAAAAACCCTTATCCAAACCTACTATTGTTAGCTGATACCAAATCAGTACAACAATCTGCCATAGGCATATCTTGATCTAATTATGTTCTGGAGAGAACTAAAATAGATCTGAAGAAAATGTAGATAATAGAACAGGCAAAACAAGAAAGGGAAAGGAGGAACATAAACAAGAGATAAAAGAAGAACAGAGAAAGAAGGATAAAGTTCTGTGATATAAAAATATAGGATTAGCTGATAGTGAAATTGTTGGGGAGGGTAGAGGGCACCACCCAAGAAGAAAAAGGCCATTGGTGAAAAATCTAATAATACAATTAACCTGAAAAAGAGTAACTTTGTGCTCAGACGCATATCTAAAATCTATCCTTACCATATCACCTTCCCAAAAAATTATCTTTGCCTCATGAAAATAAATGCCACTGAGGAAGAATGTGAATGTGCAAATAGTACTTTCATAAGTAGGGGCAAGCTTCAAATAATGTACTTGACTTGAACTGTATAAACAGTTAAGAATAATTTACATCTTATGGCTTTCAAGTAATGCTGGTGAATATGAAACTTCACCTATTTAATTCCATAAATTTGTCTACAACTGACAGTATTGCAATGCTTCATTATGTTGTAGTATATAGCAATCAGGCATCCTGCTTGCAAATAAAGCATAATGTAGATGATTATATTCCCAATTTACTCAACAATTGCTTTTTAACGTGTATATTGCTCACAAGAATTGATGTGACTCCCTCCACTCCCACATCAGAATCACCCATCATTACAGACTTGAGCATGCTCTCAAAAACGATGTTGCAGTACTTTTCCTGCAGCCAAAGACAACTGGGTTCCCTTTTAATTCCTCTTGTAACTCCAGGCCTTGGTTTCCACACACCTACTTCCATTACACAGCTTTCCAGTCTTCTCAGTCATTCCTGGTTTGAGAAACACGTAACAATACAGGTTTAAAAAAACACTTAAAAAGGAGGGAAGACTTTTCCCCACTAATCCCTTAACTTCCTTAATTCTCTTTCATTTGTGCAAAAATCTCCCCTCACATACACATTTAGGTTTCTTCAGTGCTGGAATTAGAAGAGATGTGTGAATATGTCAAAGTGCAAAGGGCTCTGAATGAAAAGCCACACCTCTGAAAAGAGAAAGATCTCATTATGATTTACACCTCTTTTGCAAGCATATCCACTGACAAATAGCTCACTGCCTACACATGCATTTGAACTAAAACATTAAATGGAATCCACTACACAAAATTTAACAAGGCAAATGTACACTGGTCATCTATTGCAAGGCATGGATAGTTTTAAGATCATGCTCACAGCAATGCCTTCTGCAAGCATTTTTAAAACACCTTTTCTCCTTCTTTATATTATTTACCCTTTTAGCACCTAAGTGTCTTACAGACAGGTATGAAATCAGTTCTGGATCCAGAGAATTTACAATACAGATCTGTCTCACCAATTTCACTTTACTTCCACATCTGAGCACAATCCCTTTTCAGTTACATTAGCTTAGTAAACAGTCAGCCTGAAAAATCACCTTTCTCCTTGAAAAATTCATATCTCCTATAGCTACAATTAGCTCTCAAGAAGATATGAACTGGAAGCAGCTAATAAAAACAATTATTTTCCTTCTTTTTTTCCAGTTTATTTCCACTGTACTTTTGGCACTGTCCTTGCCAGCACACTGTTTATCCCATAAAGTTACTCAATAATAGACTCCACATAGCTAGACCCCTATGAGCCCCAGTAAAGTCTATGGACAGCCATAGGATGTAAGGGTTTGCCCACACTCATTGCAGGGTCAGGGTTTTAACTTCTCCCATTCTAAAAGACTTTGATAAATATCAACAGAAAAGAAAGAAGGAAAAGCGGGGAGAGAGGCAAATGAGATACAAAACACAGGGCCCCAGGCTTTTTGGGTTGTTTTTTTTTGGGGGGGGGTATTTAGTGCTTCTTACTTTAAGCCCTTGCAGCTCTGCAAAAACTTCAGTTCTTTAAAATTCATCCATTACACAATATTCAGGGTGAGAGTATCTCTTTAACCAAGATAAACACGTAGTTTATGAAGTTGCAAATGTATGGATTTAATAAACACATTTACCAATACACTTATCCACTTGAAAATTAAATAAACTTCTTGGATAAATATCCTCATTTTAAAAGCATTGTGGGGGGAAAAAAAGTTGTGCCAAATGTTTTGGTAACATTTATGTCACAGTTACTTTTATAGATTAAAAAGAAATAAGTTAAATGCTTTTGATTAGAAGCACAAAAAAATTCAGGTATCACTTCTCTAAGGTGGAATTGTTTTAAAAGAGTGGGAAAGGGACTAGAACACATAAAAGATCTGTGAGAAAGGAAGCACCAGAACTAGCAGCAAGGTGGGGTTGCCTGCATGGTCAGCCCTTCATTTGAATGCAAATGTAATTATGAAAGCAGGCAGTTACCCTGACGTCAGGCAAGATCTTGGTAAACCATTACCACCAGCACCTGGTAATGCAGTTGTTGATATTACAGGATGAGGTAGAAGAAGCAAAGAAGAGTGTCAATTTTTAGAAAGATTAGGAATAGCTAAAACAAAAAATTAAAAGGTGAAGGGGAAAAAATGGCAAGCAGGATATCATAGCAACTACTTCTACCCGTTTTGACCATAATGTATGTGAGTTATCTCTTGGATAAAGAAGCCAGCATGTATCCGGGATCTGCAAGGTGCAACAACAACCTGCCAGTGCAAAATTTTGTCTCTGCGCCACCCTACTCAGATTATATGGGATATCATCATGTGCCAAGTATGGACAACCATGGACAGACTTCAGGAACCTGGGGATCTCACTATGGCCCACAAAGAGAGGATTGGAATGCCTACGGGCCCGGACCCTCCAGCACAGTTACTGCTGCACAGATCAATGGGTCCTCTCCTGGGCAGGTCTCCTACAGTTCTGCTGATTACAACTCTCTTCATCCTGCTGGATCTGGGATTTTACCTCCTGTAGATACAGTTAATACGGAGCAAATCTCTCCCAACCCTCAAAGGCACAGCTCTTATGAATGGATGCGGAAAACAGTGCAATCTAACACTGCAGGTAAGAGTACACTAAACTTTCAGCTTCTTAAAATATCTTTATCTTTCTCTACCCTTTTTTGATAAAGGGCCTTATATGGATCACCTGTGTAGCTGGTTTGCTCATGAGAGTTAATCTTACTTACATTTTATAATTACAGTTTGAAGTAACCTAGCTCTAGTTTCACTTTTCCTCTTAGAATTGCTCTGTGGTATTATTCATACAGAATGGCCAGTGTGCCCTACCTTAGATATGGTTGCATGTCGTTAACGTATATAGTGATTCTTGCATATACGCTCTGGAAAGTGCTTCAAGGCATGTGGGATACTACTGAAATAAACAAGTAGTCTTTTTGATTAAATGTGTTTTCATATGAGCATTTTAAATATGTAACTATTGGACTTTAACCAAGAAGATTTAAACAAAAAATCAGGAAAATGTACTGGAATGAGTTGTGTCTGTATCTTACACATTATTTAGTAATAAGCATCTTAACAACTTCAAGCTGACTTTATTCCTTGCAACGATTCTTTAAAAATATTTTAGTCCAGTTCCCCAAAACTGTAATGACGAAGCCATTTTCTTCTGAAATTATTTTATCCCCTGTTTCATTTAAATGCTTTATCATCAATTGAGTGGATACTTTTCCAGGAAAGCTAGTTGCTTCATTTATGATTTTATTGATGTGATTTATGACCTTTATTGTAGAAGGCAGGGTAGAGTTGCACCTTATTTTTCCAGAGCTATAAAGTCTCAATCAAAAGGAAGATCCCTGAACATTTTCATTTAATTTGAAGTATATTCTTAAGATATCGCCTTCCTGTATGGCAGGATTTTGCTATTTTTTACAATCAGACTTTTAAAAATCATTTTGTTCCAACTGTCACAGCCTGATGTGCCTGTTTTTTGCGGCAAACTACATGCCAGAAGAACTTTTCTATGTAGATCATTTGGGTGTAGATGAGGTGTAGCAAGGGCTGTCAGTTGCTAAATCTATTGTTACGGTTAAAAATAGTAAGTGTGTGTTACAGAGCATCAAAGAAAAAGGCCTAAGGAAAGAAGGATAATTACAGTTGGAACAATCTTACCAGATAAAGAAACTGAGTATGTTGACTTCAAACAGCTATTATCACTTAAAAGTGAGATTTTAAAAAATAATTTCTCAATTGATATGGTAATATATTATGTTATTTTCCATTGCTGCTAAAAATACAAATAAATTCTAGATAATCTTGGGCTATCATGTCTTGTCCTTTTGGGAGCCTAAACAAGGTGTGTCAAACCTGACAGATTGACTGGGCCTGGTTTCTGCTTATATACCCTTGTGTAAGACAGAAATAACTCCGTTGAAATAAATGGCCTTTCAAAGGTGTCAGAGTTGAATGAAGCTCCCAAAAACTGTGGGGACTGAATTAAATGGTAAAGGGACAAAAATGTCCTTGGCATAACTGTACTGAATTGAAATAATACATTTCAAGTAAGTAGAATATACATGAACCCTTGTTCCATTATAGCACCTACTGTATAGAGATGAGAAGACACTTAGGCCTGGATCCTGGAAAGACTTGTGTATGTGCTTGCTTAACTGTGGCCCCTAGAGCAAAGCATTTAAGAAAATGCTTACATACCTCTTTATTCAGGAAAGCACATAAGCCTATGCTTACATTATGCGCATGCTTAGGTGCTTCGAGCACCACTAAAAAGGATAGCTGAATAGGGGCCTACATCTTTGCAACTGCAGGGACACAATAGCAGGTAAACCTTTATAGGGCTTTAGATGCTGAGGACCCAATCCCTTGAGGTGCTCAAAACACTCAGTTCCCAAGGATCATGTACAATATGGTTTGACCCTACTAAAAATAAATGTACATTTAGAAAAATAAAACGTAAACATGGAATGTAACGTGTTTTAATCCTCAGACCTAGGGACATACCAAAGAATGGTCTTTTTTTTTTTAATTAAAACATTGAATGAGAGTGTTTTACATCCCATTGGTCACAAGCAGTTGCTCCAGGGAAAACAGAGTTTTAATAATCTGTGTGTGCAGGTGGTGGGGGAGAACTTAAGGTTGGCGTGCGTTTTGTGTTTTGAAAACGAAAATTCAAAAACAAAGGATATACATTTAAAAAATGGGTGTTGTATACGACAACTGATTGATACATTCTCCAGAACACAACACAGTAAGAATGGCTTCAGGCATTGTATCTGTTACAGAATAATAATTTAAAAAAATATCAGAAGTGGAAAAAGAAAATCAAATGGATCACCGTATCCACTCTTACCAATGTAGGTCTGTGCTCTGTATGCATTATATACAGCTCCATTAACTCTAGCTTTACATGACTTCAAAATAAGGTTTCCAGCACTTTCCTTTCAAGAATACTTCATTGTCTGATAACACTCACTGTTCAGAAATTAATTATATGCCCTGTAATGATTTCTTATGTGCTTAATTTCATCCATTGTAAGTAGTTCCACTGAGGTCAATTTCAGTTAAGCAGGTGGGTAAATATTCTGGGATTAAAACATATAAACTTGGAAGAGGAAACTTTCCTTAATACAGCCCTGAAGACACCAGTGTGAATTACAAATTATTTTATATAAAATTCAGTTCCATCTGAAGCAAAAACATTAACAATTGTAAGATGCCAATCAGGAAGAAAATGGTGTATAGAGGCATAGGATTCTTTTTTGTCTTTTCAATAGTCTGCGTTCATGTTGAAATGCAATTCTTTTATAATATATTCTTTTGCAAACAAATTATATTGAGTATGCCTTTTTAACAGCAAATGTTAACATTCTAGCCTTCCAAAGTTACAGTATAATTATGCTGGGTTTTTAAAAATAAGTAGCATACTTATTATGCAACAAGAAATTTAAAAAATGTAAATGGAGTTTAGCTGGATATCTTTTGAAACAAATTGTCACAAACAGAAAGGAACATACATCCATGTTTCCTGTGCCTGATCTATTAAAGTCAAAGAACATTCCCATTGATTTTAAGGGTGTAGAGTCAGAACCTAAATCAAAGAAATTTCTAAATCAATTAAAGTGATGGTATAAACTGAAGATTGAGGTTTCCTTCTTTTATATTCCACAATGTGTGGGATGGAATGAAGGGAGGAAGAAGTGTTCGAATAGAGGTCTGGAGTTCAAACCTGCTAATAATTGCATGTGAAAATCACAGGAGTGAACAACCCAGTCAGTCTGACTCACAAGGATATCAGCAGAGAGTTTGGTGGGAAGGGGTAAAAGAATAAAGATTTCCCCTGGCATAGGGATGGAGAACCTTTAACGCACACATGTATTTATTTTCCCCTGTATTACATCTACATATCCACACACATACATATATGGTTTTAGATAGACAGTGCTATACAAATAGGTCAGATGTGTTACCAAAAGAGAACTACAGCTAGAAAGTAAAGTAGGAAAGTAACTATGGGGGAAAGGGCCTGGTCCCAGTTCTAATGCTAATTTATTTCACTTTGTAAACCAGTTGTGACATTTATTTTTTCCCTGAGTTACATTGTCTTGGGTTTTGAGGCCTATCTGTCATATTGAGGCAACAGACCCTTTTAACACCTCTCTTTGCTTTGATATGCAGTCCTGTCTCTTCCCTCTCCCTCTTTTCTTCAGGAGTTATATTGCCGGAAAGGGTGATAATTTTCACAGCAAATAAAGAGGCCTTTTCCTCGCTTTATTGTCTTCAGAAGAAATGCTCTGTGAATTTTATGACCAAGGGGAATAGGCTAAATTGTCCCTCCTACTCACTCCCTTGAATCTTGGTTATATTTACTGATTATGGAGAAGCTGGAATAACCCTGTTGAATTTTAACTCTTGTTTTCAAAGGTTACACTTTAGGCCATCAGTCTAATTGGAACCCGAATATCTGAGACACTGTTAGCATAACTATCATTAAAGGCAAATATTTCAAAGCCAGGGACTTAGCCACCTTAATAAAAACAGAATATGGTCAAAACATTAATCAAACACTAATTTCACCTAAAAATGTAACTTTTCGCAATAAGGGACTTCCCTATTTAAAACTGAGATTTAGGAAATTGCCCTTGATTTTGCACAGTTTAAAATGCATTCACCACATGTGGTTTGGGGCTCAGATAAAACTGCCTGGAGTAATCTGCTGGGTTGTTTGCTAAAAATTAAAAAAAAACATGAACAAAAGAAATATTCCTTCATCTATTCCTGTCCTTTTCTTTTCTTCCCTAAGATGAAAGGAAGTCTGACATTTGTTTAGGGCTTGTAAATTCCAAACCAATTGGCTTGTGTTTCTGAATGTGAAAGGAGTTCTTGATAAAATCTTCTTGTAGCTCTTTTGTGTGGCGTGTGCTTCATCTTAACACCTCCATGGAGTTTAGGGAACCACTTTAAAGGAGTCTTTGTCCTACAGTTTGTCCCAGAAAAACACATCAAAAACAGCCTGGGAAGATCAGAAGAATTTAAGCAAAAAACAGAAAACAAAAACAAAAAAACGCCAGCTACCCAATCAACTTTGAAAAGTGTGAAAGAGAACAAGTAAATTACAATATGATCTCCTGGATTAATGTCAGATGAAGAACTGTTTAATAATCTCCCAGGAATGAAAATGTGTATTTCTCAACATCAAGTAGTGTTGCCATTGATATTATTAATCCAGTGCTAAGAACATGTTTTTTTCCAAAAAAAATTAAATTGAAAAAATGAGGCTATTTAACAAGAATTTTAGCACCTGATCTTGGAAAATGAGTATGCTTAGCACCCCAAAGGATTAGGTCCAAAAGGCATTCATGACCTTGCATGAGGGCAAATCATTCTAAGTAAATGTTACTGAACTGGTATATCCTAGAATCAAGCTGATAAACTATGTTTCTGCTCTGTTTTTAGTGGAATATTTCCTCAGTCATATGTTTGGTTTTACAATTAACACTAATACCTTGGTTCTAAATTTCATCAATATATGGAAAGTTTCTAGTCAAAAGATATAATGGCTGAATTTCAGTGCTGGGTGAATCCTTCCTG